CGTAGCACAGACAACGACTCTTTAACAGTGCAGGGGGCTGTTGTAGGGATGCAGCTATTTCTGTGCCGTTTATATTTCCACAGCTACTTGGACTCAAACTCTTTTATGTGTTGCTGCATGTATTTGTATATGTTTACAGTTGCTGTCATGAATGATATATGTGCACATTGGCTTAACGTGAAGAATCACTTAATAAACATAGGTTCAACCAGCCAGTTTGCCAAAAGGTGTCACTACCCATTCACAGCAGAGTTTTAAAAGGCAACATTTTGTAGTGAAATTCATTCATTGCAATGGAATTGCTATGATCAGCAAATTTTCTCACATTGGCAAACAAAATTACCCAGGGGTGAAGGCACAGTACGTGAGGTGCAAGTTTAAGTTGAATGAGCCAATTTGCACCATGCATTGACCAATGGCAAACCATCCTCTAGGGAATGGAGACCTGGAGAGTCAGAGAAAATGAAATTATTTCTTCAACCCTCATGATCTAATTTGCTTGTGCTTATTTTCCTCCTAATCACTTTCAAATTGCTAAATGACGATGAGCAACAACTTTCTGTTTTAATGCCTTACAACTCAATATTCATTTAGTCTTAGTTTCTTTGTCCTTGTTCCATAACTCTCCTTTGAATGAAATGAAGCACAATCCTGATAACAATGTTCTACAAGCAAAGTAAACGGATGAGATAGAATAAATAAAAACGATTGTGAGACATATGTGATGAGCAGCGTATTCCAGATTACTAGTGTGATCACCAGCTCCATTGATTCATTGCGTCATCTTGCTTTAAGAACCTTACCTATTCCACAAAGAGGCATGAACCAATTCTGCTGTGTCACTGCCCAAATTTTGAAGTCCAGTTGTTCTGCATTTAGTCCACAACATACATAACTGAGTCTAAAGGAGCAAAGGAAACACTCAGCATCATTACGATTAAACATATTTATGGTTAAATTGATTCTTAATTGGCAAATTGAAAGATTATGTAATCCAGCCCTAGCGTGCACAGTTTTTGAGTATGATTGCTGCACCAGGTCCACGTATGCTCCTCTTGGAGTGTTTCTCAATCCCACCCTTCTCTGTAATAGTTCCTGAGTGAGAGCCGAGTGTTGAGATCTGGCCTCTCCACTTAACTGGCTTGGACACCACAACAGGTGGCTCACAGTTTCTGGCTTTTATGTGAGCATGGAGTCTGGTTTTAAGGAAAGAGGTGTGTGTGTGTGTGTGTGTGTGTGTGTGTGTGTGTATGTGTGTGTTTTTGGGATTGTTTCAGGGGTTCGATGTGGCAGAGTAACTGTCCTTTTCTCTCGGTTCCCCTCTCCTCAGAGTAGATTTTCAGACTGAGCTGCTTGTATGCTCATTAATGTGAGTGTTAAAGACATAATTGGCCTGTTGTCTGGTTCTCACCTAATTTCTGATTCTCCATCTGTTTTTTAATGCTTTACTTCTTAAACCCCTCTCAGTGAGGCTTTGCTTACAAGTCGCAGCAGGCTGCGTGAAGGCAGAGTAGGTGGGCGTCTGTTATGGGGGGGGGGGTGTTTAGACTCACACATGCGTGCTTACACATGCGTATGTGGTGTGATGTAATGTAGACAGTTAAAGAGTGACACGCTTCCTTTTGGGCATGCTGTAATCCCAGGAATCAAAGTTAATCCTGTATCTCAACTTGGACATATGTCAGTCCCTGATGCTTCTTTAGTTACCACACACACCAAGTACACTTGTGTGTTAAGACAGGATGTCAGCACTGCTGCTTGATTGACACCGACTTCAAGTTTCTTCTGAACGGGCCCCTATTTGTTTGTAATTTGTTAAAGCTGTGAGGTTTGACTGTAGCCTCAGGTTAAAGTCAAGTTTACCAGAGTGGAGCATTCCCAAAGGTTATGCTTCTTCGTGTACATACAGAGTTACACAGTCTTTTTGCCTCACACTTTTAATACCTTCACATAATAGGCTCTCCTCACTTCAGAGCCTCAATGACACTCCACTGAATCATTCAGACATTTCATCCCCATGTCTTACCAGTGTCAAGCCGCTTTTACAGCCCCATCAACACACACGGAGCATGGTGATGAGGAATTCCTGGCGCATTCCCTCACGGCTATTGCTGCTGTAGCGTTTCTGTAGATTCCAGCCAGCATCAAAGGCTCGGTGACACCTGTGATCATTGTGGAGGTGCCTGTGTCTGGTGAGGGGAGGGGGGCACATGCCACTATGTATAGGCTGTATGAGGGGTAAAAAGAGTCCAGGTCTGTGTTGTTGAGAACTCAATATGTTAGAGCCAACAATAGCCTCAGACAGCTGCCCCCAGGGAACTAAAGCTTTTATTTCTTCATGCTATAGCAGTTAATATACCTTAACATTGGCATCTGGTTTTGTTTCACATTCTTACTTTAAGGTCAACTCTGGTATATGTCAACTTGGGTGTCACTCTCATATCTATCTTCTGATTCCAGAAATCTTTGCCCGTGTGCATGTACTTGGAACACATACCTCTTGAACCATTTATCATGTCGGTTTCACAAGGGCCCAAGAAAGAGCAGTGTCCCCTTTCGTGCATTTTTGAAAGCACGATTATATTTACAATATTAATTAATATTTGAATAAAAAAGGGAACCAGTAGGCTGTAACAGCAGTTAGTACTCATCAGTGCAAGTGACTTCATTCACAGCAATGGCACGTTCATGGCAAAAATGTAATTTACAACTAATTCTTTAGTTCTTTATACTGCATGAGTCAAGCTTCACAGAACTTTGAATGAACAGGTGAACAGCTCTTTGTGCAGCAGTGGCTTTAAGCTGCAACCATCATTACCATAGGCCTTAATGACTAATGGTCACGACAACATAGAATGTAGAAACGCGGACTCTTGCAAAGATACGTTGACTGGGGGCGAGGAGCTTGCAAACTTTCCAAAAACCTGAGATTAAATAAGAAGTCACTTGTTTAGCCAAATATATACACATTCTCTAGATAACAGGAAAACCCTATGACAGTTGCAGCAAACTTTAATACAACTGTACTACAACTGCAACACCATAAGTGGACCCCTCATTTATCATGTGGAGGCATTCCCTGAAAACTGCACCAGTGTGCACTTAATCAGTTTATTTTTGCAATGTGAAAACTTGCAGACATTAACCATCTTGTCACATTTGCTACTTCTTCTTCAGCATGAACATAAGTCATATCAATGAATACCCACAGCCTGAGAGGAACATAAATGATTTCCAGTATTTTTACAATGGATGCTGTGAGTAACACGTTGTGATGATTGATTGACAACTAGAGTATCTGGATAAATCTGCTTAGATTAATAGAAGAAATACAATGACAACTACAATAATGCCAGATTTTGCCTTGTGATTATTATCATTAGTTCAATAGTTATTCAAAACCATTTTAATTTGTTTTCATTAATTTATTTTAACATGACGGAAGTTCTGAATAAACTAACTTATCTGAAAAAACACAATACATGACACCCAACTCAGATATGTGAGACTAATGTGAATGTGGTTGCCAATAAAAAGAGTAAAGGCTGAGAAGCTGAGGTGAAATTTATATGGTAATTTCTCAAGTGATTAAATTCTTGAATGAAGCTCAATCAAAATCAGTTTTAAAGTTGCAGATATGGATACAGTAGATTTAATTTAATATGCCATGGTCTATGAGTCTCAGTTAGAAAATTAGACCTTCACATGTTCCGATATTCAGGATCATCAATGAAGGCTTGCAAGGAATGAGCTGTGTTTTCACAGGTCGTATTTCACCCAGCTGAAACAATACGCAACTATCCCCAAACACATGCAGGCACACTGCCCTCTGCAAATAAGCCTTCTTTCTTCTCAAATGGTGTTTTGCTTAAGTAGAAGGGATTTAAAGCATCAACCCAAACATCCTTAATAAGGACTAACAAGTCTGGAAACTTGTGGGGGGTTGTGGGTGGGTGACCTCAAGGGAGAGGTTAGGGATTTGGGTGGGGCGGGGGGGGGTCTGAGGGTGTCACGTGGCCCTGTGGTGAACTCGCAGGGGCTGGAAGTGGGACCACATGTTTGTCCTGAAATCGCACAGCTCTGACCAGGCTGAGGTCTGAGGGCAGCCAAAACCGCACATTTGAGGTTTGGAGTCAATAAGCGAAGCAGGCGTCAACATTCCTGAGAGGGATGCGCCACAGAACTCGAATTCTTCACAAGACTGTTTATGATGCTTAATACCCACTAATGCCTCTTTTCTTGGTATTGAGGCTTTATTTTTCTGTAGACAGGTGTTTATGTCACTTTTTTCTTGTTAATGGTCTGGGGCCATTTTCCTAATAGATACCAGACTTTATTAGACTTTAAAGTCTTGCGTTTAATTGAGTTTTATCGCAGAGCTGCAGAGGAGTGTTTTTGTGAGGTTTTGGATATTGGACAGTCTCTCTCTCTCTCCGTTCTGTCTCCTATTTGTATTCATGGTGGGTGTAAATGCTTCCCAGAGTCAATGATGTGCTTGGCTCCTTCTGGCACCGTTCCAGGTGCTTTGCACTGCATCCTTGACATGTGATCAGACTTTACAGCTTTCAGGCAGTGACAGACAGGCTGTCACCCCTCTATCAAACAAGCTATGACTTCATGCGCAGCACACAGACATGACATTTAGGATGGAGACAGTCGGTGTCTCTGGCTGTAAGTGTCGAGATGATTTCCGAGTCTGTTGCCGTTTGTGTTGGGGGGGGCGGGGACGGAGGTTTGAGGTTGGAGGGGTACAGATCACTTATTGTTTGATGTGATTCACTCAGGCAGGCAGATTATTGTTTTCCACATCATTTGTTTTCTCTGTGGAAGTCCACTTAATTAATGTGGGTCTGTGCCAAGGCCTTGCAGACACGCTGGCTGCTTCACTGTGAGATGCCTGGTTGCAATGTTTGTCTGGTCATTAAAGCAAAAGGTTCTGCTGGATTTAATGAATGAACTGTGCAACATGACTGAATCTTACCCTTTTCTTCTGCCCACAGGACTTGGGAGTGAGACCCCTATAAAACTAAGTAATCCCAGGTTGCTACAGAAGAGAGCTTTGAGGTAATGTATACTAAAACACTTGTTGCGTTTTAGTATATTCAGATTTCCATTGCAGTTGTCTTACATCACTTTGTTAAAGACCTGGCAGGTAAACAATAACCTTGATCCTTATAAGAGATCAATTCAATATGAACGATACCATGGCACGGAGAAACGTGCAGCATTCGGAAATCTAGCAGACTGGAAGACCACAGTGCTCAGATAAAGCAGACTTTCCTTTCTTCCAACAAGGTTGTCTTATTTTTCAAGATGTTCATGTAAATACCATAAACAAATGAGATCATCTGAGAATATTGATATAATTATTCTGACTAAGACCTGATAATGATATTCGCATGATTAGTAAAGAGAATATTCCATTCATATTCCTGTCTACATGTTAACGAGTATAGCTTGATTATGAGTTACATTAACATTACGTCCAACATGGTAACTAGCCATATGTAAATGTTGCAAAATGCTGGGAAAACTCCAATAGTATGTTACACTGTGGTTATGACACATACATGTCTACAGAATGTGACTAAGAGTGGAATACTCCACATTTGATTATTCTGATGCGTACACAGCGTGTATACATGTCTGAATTGTTAGGGAATTTGATTAATTGCCTAGTTGAAAAAGTAGAGCCATATACGTAGAATACAAGATGTGAATGTGGATGTGAATGTGGAAAGACAACTTTTGATTCAAGAGCTTTTGGAGATGCAGGGCAGACGTAGGTGTCAGTGTGCTACAAAAACGTGTGATTTCCACAACAGACTTAATATGTTATGTCCTGCCTCCTGCATGCTCTACCCAGGCATCACCCCTCACTCTAATAGTCTGCATATTATCCAGTTGTTGTGAACTCATCTGATTCTGGCAATCTCCTGTTGCATTTTTCATTGCCAAAGGCAAACTCTGGGAAATGCCTGGACCCAATTTTCGGAGCATTTTTCAGAGTTCATGACTGAAAATGTCTAATAGAGTTAGAAGTCTCATCACGTTAGTAAAGAGACAACAGATAACAACCATACATTTATTTACCATATATTTGATCTATCATATGCTGATGATGATTCTGATTTGTAAGGAAAGGTCTCATCTAAAGGCTGACCTGGCAAATAGGAGAGAAGACCTATTCTGGATTTAAACTAAATTGTAAGGTGAACCCTTACACACATCTTTTAGAACAATCCTATAGCACAATACTTGTGCCAATGCACAAGCTTATTGAGAAAGGAACAGATCAGCTAAGTCACTGTGCTCCTCTGCATTGTAAAACCTCTCTGCTGCATCATTAGCAGGATTGCTCCGCATCATTTTGTTGGCTGTGTGTCAAATAGTCCATCATGCACACACCTTATTTGAGAAGTTTAATTTGCAGCAGGGAGGATATCGAAACACTTAGTTATTGCCAATCTGCAAGTGTGGCTTTGACTTGGATTCACATTTTGTGTTTAGGATTCACATTTTGGGAGATATTTACGCCTAACAACAGATGCTCACAACACTGTGGTCGTTGGAATTAACATAACCACCAAGTCATGTTGCCCAATTCTTGAGCATTTCTTCGTGTCATTAATACGGTGCCAGTTCTTTTATAGCTGTGTTGCAACAAAGTGGTTTTGATTTAAAATCCATAAACGACTCCAGCATGTTTCTGAGAGGGAGTGGTGTTTGTGTCTGAGGCAGATGATGCGATTGCTCAAAACCTGCTCATCATGTTTAAATACATATAAAAAAATAAAATAAATAAATAAAACCCTGATGCATTGTTTGGATGATGAATTATTTTTGTATATGTCCTCATCTGTAATCCACCGGTTGATGGACGAGACTCTTGAGCATCATTCAAATCCAACAGTGTTTTAATGATATGAATGACTGTTTGATGAGATTCAGATTAATTCAGTGGGACCCATTCAACTGTCGGTCTATAAACAAATGTAGTTTCCCACAGCTCAGCTTTGTTTCAATAACATTTGGTATTTGTCCTGCACCCCTCAGCTTCCAAAAAGAATTCTCTATTGACGAAAAAGACGACCCAGCCAAAATCACCAAGGATATAGATGTTAGTCTCTTGGCCAATCTCCCCAAAGGTGAGTACATTTTTTTTTTTAAATATCTGCCTGCTTGTAAGTGGCCCTCATAATGTCAGCCTCTTACCAGGAGGATCCATGCCATAAAACCACTGCAAGCACTGTTCTGATATGTTGAACATTATGGATTATATTTTCTCTACTGGAGCACTTTTTATTTAAAATGTATGACCTAAAACCAGACATGGTCCTATTGAGGTTTGTGAGTCTGTCAAGTCCTGCTGGGTGGTGGAGGCTGTTAAATAGTTTGATGAGCTGTTGAAAGACCATGGTGTTTTAAACGTTTTAAAAGTTATGAGTTGTGTCGCAAGAAGGGATGATTAAATAAAATCGTAAAATTGAAAGTAAATCGCTTATTTTGTGGCAGTTAACCCCGATGAAAAGCTGTGCTATTTCTGCCATCTCTACCAGTCTTTGTCAGTTGGGACTGAAAACTATGAGTTTGAAGATTAAATGAAATGTGGGAAAAGTAAAATTTCTGTCGCTCGCCAAACTATTGGTTGCTCTGTGGGTAATGTAAGCAGCAGGTTTTGACAAGGATGTGTGGGATAAAAAAAGATATCTCTGCCCCATCTATTTCTTTTTATTTGTTTGTAGAAGCCACTCATAAGACAGATGTGTTACTTTTATTGAGCTGTAACATCTTGTTTTTTTCCTCCTTTAGTCTCTGAATTGAGGAAACGATTTGAAGGCATTACCACAAGCTCAAGTGACTGGGAAATGAACAGGTAAGAATGTGATGATATGTGTATTATCAAATTGAAGATAATAATATAATCAAGTTTGACTCCTTCCGTCCGTCCGTGTGTGTGTGTAGGAAGGAGCGTATTGCTCGGCGGTTGGAGGGCATAGAGGGTGAGGTCCATCCGTCCCTGCTGCCTAGCTTGGTGGCCAACCGGCTTTTAGAGGAGGACACACCAAGATACACCAGGGCCAATGACCCCTTTGAACCCTGTGGTGGTGAGACATGTTCAGACCTGCATCATTATCTGTCTCCTCTCTGTGCTTGTATGGGTATAACTCCCTTTTTGTCTTCACTCTCTGTCTTCTAGTTACAGTTCAGCGATATGGCGTGGAGGGATTTGAAAGCCCGGAGATGCAGCTGCCGTCTCCGGAGCGACAGTCCAGAGCTCGATGTCGGCCTGACCCTCAGGCCTCCATCCACACAGAGCCGATTTTCAGTTCAGGCTCCACCACCAGTGGTCACGAGCTGGAGTCGAAGGCTGAACGCATCGCCCGTTATAAAGCAGAACGACGCCGGCAACTGGCTGAACGCTACGGTATCTCCTTGGATCAGGAGCCCGACTTGGAACATCCCTCCCGCTACACTCGCACCCGGAAGGAGTCAGAAGGCTCAGAGAGGAGAAACCGAGGGGAGTGTGAGGGGGAAGAGGGGAGAGATATCACCCTGACCTCTTACACCGGCACCTCTGCCACCAGCCCAAGGCCTGGACGCACAGCGCCACATCACAGCCACACTGAGCCAAGCTATGAGATGGGTCGAACCAGGGTGGACTCTTTCACAGAGAGGGAGAGGCTGATGAACCTGGAAAATCAACGGAGGGCTCCTCCCCCTGAGCCGCCATCCTCCTCATACATGGATGTGACACCATTATCCTCAGCTGCCAGGGTGCCCACCAGGGACTATGCAGTCACAGGAATGCCTCCCAGTTCACCCAAGCTGAACAGGCACCCTTCCCTCTCCTCACCTAAACATGGTGCGTCTCCTGGAGACCTGTTCATCGAGCAGCAGGCCCACAACATCCTCAGCAGACAGGGGTGAGTGGGTTTAATGTTTCTTTTTGGACTCATTGTCTTATATGCGTATTTATCCTCTAGCCAGCAAATTGAGAAAGAGTAGATATGAGGTTGTTCTGTGAAACTCTGTTCTCTATTTGATTTCTCATCAGCAGGCCATTTCCTGCTTGGGTCACGACCCCAGCTTCCCTTCAAATCCATATACACAGGGTTTGAACATAGCGTTCATGTGGGTCTGAACACTGCTGTATCATTCTCTTTAAGAGATGGATTTGCTGTGACAGCGTTATCCATCAGACTGACTCTCCCCCCCTCTATCTCTTTCTCTATTCTCATCCACACATGTCCAAGGTCGTCCTGTTGGCACAACTGTGGCAGGCCAGGCAACCTCAGCTTGTTCTGGAACAATCTCTGAGCTCGCACTGAGACCCACAGCCTGGCTCACATTCAAAATACACAGGCAGAATAATACAGTCTGTTGGTCGTTATGTTTCTATTCCAGAGGTTTCAGGTGGATCTGTTGCGAATAGTGAATCGCTGTATTGTTTTAAATTCCCAAAGGAAATTTGGTCAAGATGTTTGTTGTTTTGTTAGAATGACGGATTTCCAAGTGAAGTGAGTCTCCAGCCCTGTAGCTGACCCCACATTCTGAAAGAGAATTGCATCTATTCAAGCAGTTCACAAATGTTTTTACATGAGCACTAGTATCCTGGTTATTATCTGGTTTTCAGATACTGGTGCATCCCGGTTTCTGACCACTGCTGAGTACCAGGTTCTTACAGCATTATGGCACAGATCACACAAAATATTATGGCCACTCTCCATAAGACTCAGGTCTACAGATTAGGTGGACCTGTGAAGACCTCTCGTTTAGGGTAAACTCGATGAGAGGAGGGGTAATTTACAGTTCACATTTGCCCTGTGGCATCTTAGTGTTTTAATTTGGTCTGACACACACATACACACACAAACACACAGCTTATTGTGCAACGAAGGATTAAGACAAAATTCAACTTTCCTCATCCACATGGTCACGAGGGTTCATGTGATGAGGATTTGTCTTCCCATTGTCCACGTCCAGCTCCAAACGTGTGTGTTCACTGGTTACATGTGGCCATTTATTACCAGTATTCACTGCTTCACTGTCGCAGTGGTATTCATTGTCCAGGTCACAGTAGTTGCTTTTGGTTTTGGCCTTTTCCCAGCATAATGTTTTAAAATAGATTGAGACCAAGATGATATTTTTCAAAAAAGTACAGTATTGCCATCATCTGTTTTTATAGATCCTGCAGTGCTTGTCTATGGAAGTATTAGTGGTTTCATCTAAAGCAGGTTGACTCATTGCTGCTGCAGAGGGTTGGCACTAAGGAGTGTTTTGGCTCAACTACTGAAAGCATAGATCGTATCAGCAGCACATGCACATCTTTATATCTCTGTTCCTTATGCCTGATGTACAAACCCAGCCCAGGTTTGACCAGGCTGTGATAGTCTACTGTTACTACAGACCAGATGAAGATGACTCTAGATCTGTCTGCCATTCTTCTCAATCTTTCCCTTCCCCTCTCTGCATTGCCCTCTCTCGCTGTTTTTCTTTTAGGACTTGGCCAGTGTTTGTGTGTCTCTAGTGCAGGGAAGGTGTTGTGTTACCGGGCGGCTCAGTGTGACTCCACAGTCAGATCTCTGACCCACAGCTGGGCTTGATCAAGACCAGTGAGGCCTGAGAGGAGAGAAGTAAATAGGAGAGCGTGTTAGGATTGTTAGGATCCAGTGCAGAGGTCAAGAATGGTTTTAGGATGACAGAATAATAAATATCTTATATAGAACAAGTGTCTTTTTATGATTAGTTGTTGCCATTAAGTTGATATTTTGAAGGCAACCAACAGGTAAACTGGCTTTGTTGAGGTGAGAGCTCATTCAGAAAGTATTCAGATGGGCTAGGTCTATGAGCAACTGTTTTCAGGTCTCCCTAAAGAGACTGGGTTCAAGTTGGGGCTCTTGCTGGGCCACTCATGCATTGCACTTAAGGTAGGTTTGTCATATGATAAAATCAGCATGAACAATTCCATCAAGATCCGTAACATTGTGGTCCAAAAGTGGAGTGATTGGACACCGAATGACCTCAAACCCTCTCACTCCCTGTCCCTGCTGGGGACCAGTCGGTTCAATCATGGTTTCATTGGACCAGATAAGCTGGTTTCTTCAGGTTTTCATGTGTCTTTCACTGAGGAGAGGCTTCCAATACACTTGCCTTGCCTTATGTAGATCACTGTGCTCTTGGGACAGTTGACCTTGTTGTAATCTCTGCCAAAGAAGCAGACATACAGACCCAGTCTCCACACGACTGAATTAGACCATAGTGGAAGTATAGTGGTTCAATTTTGGATATGTTATGTTACAATAAACCGTTTTGTCTTGTTGGTCCCTTTAGCACTAAAATCACAATACAACTCCTCAACTCTCTACTCCTCTGTTATTTATGTGGTTAAGATCGCGGATCATTACTTTTGATTTTGTTGAACTCGTCTTTATGAAACAGTTCAGGCTGTTTGTGTTTATCCGCCATCAGAGGTCAAGAATGACTTATTTGCCTCTAGACTCTGCTGGTGTGAGATGGTATTTCCTCTGAATATCTGCTGCAGTACAGACCTCATAAGACCTCATTTATTCAGTTGCTTCAGATCCAGTGATGCACTGAAAAACATAAACATGTAAGGTAAACAAGTAAATGTGGTTTTTGTAGCAGTTGCTCTTCATCTCTGATGTTTTCTTTGGGTGATGCTTGTCCCAAAACCAAAATAACAATGAAATGTGGCCAAGCTCATTCTCACTGTGGTCAAGCTCCATGTGAAGTCAGTGATGTGTGTAATGTAGTGGTACGACTGTGTGTGCGCCAAGAAAACGGTCTAAACACTGAATCTAGACTCTTACCACCCACCCACTCAATCACTCACTCTCATGTCTCCTGCTGGGTTTCCATTGGTGCAGTGCGAGGGCGTTACTGAGCACCGATTGGTTCCTCCAGACCGATGCTGAGGGCGACACGCACTCCCTCATCAACTGGCCATCGAGGTACACCCAGGCTGGTTGTGTCCCCTCCGCAATATCACCTGCCCCTGTTGCCATTTCGCTCAACTTACCAAAACCCATCAACCTTTACTTTTTTTTTAATAATCATCTCTTAGGGTCAAACTAAATTTGCTCAGTTTGGGTCCTGCATTTATTAGAAGTGTTTGAGTGTTTGAGCTGACCTTGCATCATCCATCATCTTCCTCCTCATGGTCACAAGCTCATTTCACCTTTATTTTGGACCATAACTTCATTTCTCATGCACATATTGCTGTGTTTGATTTAATCCCCTTTGTGAAAACAAATGTTCTGACTTTACATCAGTGACTATGGGTTTGGAGCCTGTGTTTAAAGTTTGCATCTATCACCCTGTTTTTCTTCAGTTCTCTTCTTAGATACAATATGTTCTGGTAACAACAAGCTTTAGATTGAGTCAAGTAGAGTTGAGATTATTTCAATATAGTTTATATTCATATCTCTGGTGTCCATCACCATCCACAGTCTTATAACTTTATATTTTGCCTCATTATAATAACATTTTTACTTATCTGTGCATCCATGGTTATATTGCAAACAGGAATTGCTAACAGTCAAATTGGTGCTTATTTTTTAAAAATACAGTATTAAATTGATGCTGAAAAGTGTAAACAAATATAGATTGTTCTATGTAAACCAACCTATTGTGAAAATATCAACTTTAGGTGTATAGCCCCCTAAATAAAGGGATTGATAATCAAGCAAAAAGTCTGGCGTCAAAAATTGTCTAATAAAATAATCATTGACACAAATACTAATTGATAGAAATAAATAAAATGGGGCAAAGATTGTACAGCAAGATTATCTTAAGTTGGAGATGAGTGCAGTTATTTCAGTGGGTGTAACACACAGCGGCTATATCTATTTTTGTAGTGTTAAATGTTAACCAGCCATTTGTTTCCCCGAAGAATCAGAGTTAGGGAGAGGCTTGCCAGGGACGAGGGCCGCCAGAGGAGCCCAGAGCTGGGAAATCTCACAGAGGCCCCAGTGCACCGCAGACAATATCAGCACCCGACCTCCACATGCTACCACACAGATCACCCAGGCCTCCATCATACACAGGCTCAGCTCACCCGAACTGGGCACCAGGAAGTTGTTGGATACCCAAGTTACCTCTCCATGGCCTCTGGCCCCACGTCCAGAGGCGGCCAGCAGCAGCAGGCTCCGGAGGAAGAGACTGAGGAGACAGAGGACGTGAAGACAGAGGGCCTCTTGAAAAGTAGGAAAGCAGTTCTGCCCTCAGAGATCCGCCGCAGGGAGAGGAGCACTGAGGACCCACGGAGAGGTAGAGGGGAGGAGAACCTGGGCATGTCCAAGGTGCAGAGCCTCAGCCATGCAAGGGAGGCTGAGGCAGAGGTTCCAAGAGACAGACAACGAGGCAGAGGCAGGCTGGATGATATTGAGCACCTTTCCCGTCTGCATGCAGGCGAGAGCAGGTCCAGAGAGAGGGAAAGTTCCTTTCATACCCACAAAGCGGCGCCCGCAACCCACATCCAGCCCAGAGTGGCACATGCAGCCCCAGGAAGCTCCAGCACAGCCGTGAGCAACCCGGTATCAGAGGCTGGAGATTCCCAAGGGCCCAGTCAAAGGTACCCGCAGCACCAGAACCACGACCTCCGAGAGGTCAAGCAGGGTGAAGGTTTCAGTAATGGAGAGGGCCTCCAAGACACGCGTGTGTCTGTGGCCCAGCTCATGCATTCCTACATGGAAAGCACCACCACTCCTCCCACCGGCCGCAGAAATGAGCCGTAGGTGGCAAAGTTAAATGTTGCGACGCGCTACTCACTGGTCGCTGCTGTGGGACTCACTGATGCTTGTCACCTAACATCGGCTGCCTACTGACTGACTAACATCAAAGGTCCAGTGTGTAGGGCTTAGGGGAATTTATTGAGGGAATATTCATTATGATGTGCTCATCAGTGTCAGTCACCTGAGACTGATAATCCTTGTGTGTCTTGCACAAGCAAACTGGAGGAGCTGGGCATTGATCCTCCGACCTTCTGGTTATTGGATGACTCGCTGTATCTCCTGAGCAACACCCGCCCACAATTGCACAGCGATGTTTCTACAGCAGCTCAGAATGAATAAACCAACTGCAATTTTTTTACCTGAGGGTGAGCGGCATTCAGTTGGTTGCAAATGCCACTGTGAGATGCTGAACTAAATCCTACACACTGAACCTTTGCATCAAAGCACAATGACGCTGCTGCAGCGTAGAAAAAAGCATTAATGTATTATATCGCTCAGCTCTAAACCTCTAAGCCTCCTATAGTGTTTGTTTTTTAGTGGCTCTGTGGCTTATTCAGTTATTACCTGGGGCCAATGTACATGTGCATGCTTCAACTGTTAATAAATCTGCATGGCCTTGCTCACATATTTGATTTAAAGAGTCAAACCTGTACCTCTGCTTTGAAACAATTCGATTTTTGCTTCCTGTCCCTCTCTCCCTTACTCTACTGTATTCTGTCTTCATTTTGGGTGTTGGTCACTCACCTTGGTTGGTCCCTCCAGTGAGGTTGAGGGGGACAGGGCGCTCTCAGGATACGAGGCCCCATGGAGAGGGGAAAGGGACAGGGGGCGCAGGCCCCGGCAGTATATCGATCCTGGGGAGAGTAGAAAGACCTCAGAGAGGTTTAGGACGCAGCCCATCACTTCTGCTGAGCGCCAGGAGACTGATAGGTACTGCTCTGGACTCAAGAGTGCATGGCTGAGAGTTTGGAATGCTGGGAAATGACCACATGATCATGCATGTCAAAGAAATCATGAAACAATGTTGATCTAATGATACAATTAGAAACTTATGATTATAAAGTACATTCTGTTTAGTCTACAATGAATGAAGTCCTTGAGTACATTAATACCATGAGGTGGATCATAGTTTACCACACACACACACACGTGTAAAGTCCCGTTTTCCTTGATTTCGCCTCCCACTCTAACAACATTAACTAACAGTGAGGCTTAAAGGCCAAAGGTCCCTCGTCCCTCTGATTGGTCCCTGGCAGTGGACATGACATGTGATCACACCAATTACAGAAGCATGAATTGCCCTTTGTTGGTAATCACTCGCTGAGACCATGGAACTGAACAGACTTCTGTAATACCGTCTAATACTCCAACTTAGTGTGCTTTACTTCACTGTTTCCCTTTTTCATTTTTCTCCTCTAACACTGGCTGTCACATTTCCAGCATACCAGAGACGACTGCCTCTCCCTGCATCCCCTCACCACCAAAGTGCCTGACTACTCACCAGCCTTCCATATTGCTGTGTTATGCATGGTCGCAAGGATATTAAGAGATTTTTCTGACTATCTTTATTTCCTGCCCTTTTAAAGGTCCTGTGTGGGTTCAGATCTTGTTTCCTCTGAAGGTAAGTCGTACTCTTTTTTTTTTTTGTCTTGGAAAAGCTTTAAGTGCAGAAGTTGATTTTCAGAGTAATACACATCCATCTGTCAGTTTAATGCTGGGACTGATCATTGTAATATCTCGCGGCCTGTTCATCATTCATTAACTTATTCTGTAAATCAAAAATACATCAGCCACAACACTAAACTCAGTGTTGTAACTGATCAGTGTATATAATTGTGTAGTATATTATTATATTCTGTAAGAAATCAAACATATAAGTGGATGTAGACCTTTTAGAATGTATTCCATCCAACCCATGTTTTACAATCACATCTACTCTACCATTAATCATATAAAAGTAAAGCTCAGGCTCTACTGTAGCCCCTGTACTCAAGTGTTCGTGAAATATAATTGATTCAACATGGTTAGTGTAGGTGGAATTATCAGTATGTTTGACTAATGAGATCGTTTGGCTGGGACTTATGTTACATATTGTATATAGGAATAATTGTGATGGTAAGGAAAGCAGTTCCTTCAGGGGATAATAGATTATATGGGTGTTCCAGTTTTAACTTTGAGGCATCATTATGATTTATGAGTTATATACTGAAAGTCAACAAAGCTAAAACACTGCCGTTAGTTCTCACGAAGCAAAAGAATGACACCAACAACGGACCTGTAATTGACAGATACCAGCGAAGCTCTCTGAGTAAATTGAATATCATCAGTCTGTTTTCTTGGAAATGGTTGAGTTGAAGACATCATGGAGATGTGTTAAAGGGGAATTACAGTATTATGATGATTTTTTTTTTATGGGAAAGCACAACATTGAAATGTATTGTTTATTTTATCATAGAGTCATCACTTGTTCTCACAGTAGCTCCGCTGAGGGCAGGCCCCTCATCTGTTTCTTATAAGCACACAGTCAGTCGGGATGATTTTTGCACTGACATGAACCGGGGGCAGCAGATCTCAGCTGGGCAGCGTCAATCATAGGGAATAGTTGCATGGTGATGTCATGTCACGTGATTTGTAGGGCGAGAGCATGTGTGCATGCAAGCAATGTCTCTCACACCTGTCTACCACTAGTGATGTCGGTCACATGGTTGAGTGGTTTGTCTTTGCTCACAGTGAAACCAGATGGAGCTGGTGGTGATAATAATGGAGGTAAATATAATGTTGTTTACAGAGAAGTTCAAGTACTGTACACTTATAAATGATGTTTCCATCTGTTATTGGAGTTTTTATATAACACCACTGGATAGTCACATTTCAATCTTTATGCTATTTTGTTGCATCTTGGTGCAGTTTTGCTCTTAAACACTGCATTTGTTGTTGGGAGGGGAGAATGCAGCAATTACACAATAATTCCACCAAAATTGCACCATTTTGATGATATGTTTTCTGAACCCTGCCTCCCTTGTCTGTCCTCCTACAACACATATTTGTAGTTTATACTGATAAAGGCAGTGACCTCTCAAAATCCTCAGTAATTTCAGTAACAATGGGTCCTGCATTCCAGAAAGATGTATAACGTTTCATTTCTAACAATCATCTGAAGTGACAGTTGCTGGCAGATTTCATCACCTGCAGCCAGCCAACTATTCAGTGTCATACTCGCTCCAAGATTCAATTTTTAAACTGTTTAAATGTTACTATAAAGTCTTGTGAGTTAAAATTGTATCAGCATGAGTTAGTGCCCCTGCTTTTGAGAAAATTCCGACTACATTGTTCATGGAGAAGACATCCAAAGTCTCTCATGTCCAAACGTCTGTCTCTTTCTGTCTTCTCCCTCTGCAGCCGATGAAGAGAAACTCGATGAAAGAGCCAAGCTGAGCGTAGCGGCCAAACGCACTCTCTTCAGGGTGAGCTCTAACTATCAGCTGTTTGTCCTCTCATGTTGACAGATTCTGGAGAAATGTGCTTCAAATCTTCACTGTGACGGTTTAGAGCTGAGGATTTGATTCAGTTTAATCTCTGGCAGAGATTTAATGGTGAACATTTCACTCCACATTTGTCGAAATGACCCCACACATGCTTCATAGTCTTGGTTGTCAATGGAGAGCGATGATATGATCCCAATGAGCTTATTCATCTGCATTTAGTCTCTGTTATACTGATTATCCCACTGGTGTTGAGGTAAGGTGAAACACTCCCCTGATTTATAATAGAATTCCATGTTTATCTGTATGATTCCATCCAGGAACTGGAGAAGAGCATCGATGGCGGAGCTCCTAAGCCTCGATCCAGGAATGCTGCTGTGGACAGGAGACTGAGACGGACACAAGACCGATCCAGAACTCAGCCCGTCACCACTGAGGAAGTCGTCATTGCTGCTACGTGAGTTACTTATTTCCAAGTTACTTATTAAATCAAAGCGCACCGTATTATGCTACAAAGGGTCATTTTTCTCACTAGTCTAAGCTCTATCTTTCCAGTCTAATAGTTGGTTATATTTGGGCAGATTTTTAGAGATCCCTTATCCAGTAAAATCCTGGATCATAAATTCTGAAGAGAAGGTTTTTTTGTATTTTAAGTAGAATTCTGTTTATATGTACTTTATAAGGGTGGAGGCAGAAATCTGAGTCAGATTTCCCTATAAAACCAACATGTTCTGTGTGGTTACACATTACCAGAGGTGTGTGACAAATTGAATGGAAATATTTTCTTATTTTGTCAACCTAACATCTGAAACACATTTTCTGCTCTGGATATGATTAAAAATGTCATTTGTTTGTAATTTTCCCCCTGAATTCTGAAATGAAATTTTGGTTTGAGTCACCATCCATCTTGAACATCAAAATACTGATTCCCTGCCAACAATGCTGCATACTTCTCTCCATTAGCTGGAATTACCCTTTTTCTTAATCACATTCCCTCTGTCGAATGTGTGTTTTTCTCTGGCACCTGTGTGCGTATGTGTGTGTGTCTGTGTGTATTGTTTCTCTCTCTCTTTGACCACTGTAGCGTCCCCTCTCATATGCCTCAAACGCTGACTGTTCACACCGCTGTAGCTCGCATCCCTAGCCCCACCCTTGTTTGCAGCTCTATCCCACCATACAGGTACATGGTACATGCAGCACAAGCGTGTGCACGGGCATGAATGCAAGCACCGGCCTCCAGTGTGTGACTAACATGTTTTATGGTTGCTGTTCAGTCACCGCGGCACAGTTACATTAAAGAGTGGTTTTCTCTCAAGTAGGTTTTAACCCACAAGATATAAAAGTTCTGTCGTGTAAAGGTGTTTTTGATGTTTTGGTGCCCTCCTGTGTAATTGGAGGAAACTACATGAGTAAATTATCGAATGACTCAGGAGTCTAGAAAGGTTATGTCATGCTTTTGCTTGGAGTGACTCACTCTGCCTTTGTAACCCTTTTGTTTGCTCTTTTTAAAACTGTAGGTGTCACACAGCTCCACAATGTTGCCCATCAAGCCGCATGTCACTTGCTCGTTTGCACAAACTCCTTCCATGCTTATCAGTAGTCTCCCTTTCTCCTACATCTTTCTCTCTTTGGTTCCATCTTCCTCCTCTCAGCCTGCAGGCGTCCTCGCAGCAGAGCACTGCTGCCCGGGAGCAGGCAAGGGAGGCGCGGCTGGTGCAGGAGTCCTGTGTGTCCAAGCCTGTGTCCACGATGGAGGGAAACGCCCCGAGTCACGGCCAGGAGGAGCCCGACCTCTGCACCCTCAGCCTGGCAGAAAAGATGGCACTGTTCAACCGGCTGGCTCAGCCTCCGACCAGGGTTACCCGCACCAGAGGGGACACGCGTCAGCGCAGGGCCAACGCGCGCTACCAGACGCAACCCATCACAATGGGAGATATGGAGCAGGTAGGGATGGAGCAGGAGGATGTACAGTTCATCTAGTATTAAAGAATTACTCATTTTCTTCCTCTTTTTCTGTACAATGGCTGAAAACAGCGCACCACAGACGAAAGCAAAATAAAATACTATTTCTATTTCCATCTCTAGTGAAAGTATACTATGTGCATATTCTCTAATAATTTACATTTTATTTATATTCTTTTACGCATTCTCTTGTCTACCTCATTCTGACTATCTGCTGCTATGACGAGTGGATTTCCCTGTGTGGGATCAATACGGTTTATCTTAAGGATAACAATTATAAGTAATTAAAGAACATATATTAGGTGCAAAAAGCCAGCAGGCCGTTACAGTATCATCTGTTAAATAGAAAATCCATGAACCGTGTCTCTGCTCCAGGAGTCCTCAGACGTAGACATGAGGGACGAACAGGAACTGTGCGACAGCCCAGTAGAGCATCTACAAGTAAGGTTCCTCTGAACGGTCACCGTGCATCTGCCTGAGACGCTGGCGGCTGACGCACTCTTCCCAGAAACAGCTCTACGTTTCTGTGAACATCACGCTCTGTATGCCATCGCAGTTTGAGCCCATCTCCATGCTGTGTGATTTCATTATGAATGTACAGTGCATGGCTTAGCTTCGGATAAAGTTCTGACTCAGCTCGGCATCATCGCGCCGCGTCAGTTAAAGAGGCTGCGGTGTGTGGACGGATTATACCACCGGCCGTATTTCAGCAAGTGTGAGGGTTTGAAAGACGCCTCTGTGGTGCCAGAGAGCAGAACAATCGTAGTCTGCCATCACATGGACTGAAAGCAGCTTTTTGTCAGCAGCTTGTTGGAAACAAGCAACTGTTTCAGGGGGGGGATGTGATGTGGGAGAGAAAATTGGAAGTAAAAAAGAAAAGGAAGTTCAAGGACGGGGACAAGATTTCTCGACGTTTCCATGGAGTTGAACTGTTGTTTCTCACTTGTTACTCAGCAGAATCATGAGGTCAGTTCTTCACATGTAAAAACTTCACATGTATTTGATGTGAAGTGACGCTTGTATGATTTCGTGTATTTTGGCTACAGCTGGTTGCATTGTGTGTAGGCGTGGTTGCCGGCATGGCTTTGTGATGTGGGCTGTAAGTGACCAGTGAGATAGAGGCTGCCCTTTGATGCCCAGGAAGTGCAGTGAGTCCGGCAGGCGGTGATTAGTCAGCGTGATTCTCTCCATTTTGTGTGTGTGTGTGCACTTTGTCTGATCGCTCTCTCTGACCCACTTCTTTCTTTGTGTCTCTCTCGTGTAGATTCAGAACGGTACAGGCTCTCAGGCAGATCACCTCCCCTCTTCCTCCTCCTCTGCTCTGAGAGCAGGAAGCACCGTGTCCACAGACCACGCCGGAGACATCCACATAACCAGAGCACCAGCCTGTCTCCAAAACCACCCACCCAGCTCCGACAGGTCCCTGCCCCCTCACCCTGCGGACGGCCCGGCCCTGCACCCTCAGGACTCCGGGGACCACCAGAAGCACCGGAACCTGCCCCAGGGAGACGTCAGGGTAGACCTGGGCGGAGGGAAAAGGAAGTTGCCCTCTCCTGAACGAGGGGTCAGGCAGTTGGCTCTGCCCCAGCCTGGAAGAGAGAGAAGGAGGGAGGAAGAGCAGGAGGTGGAGCAGCGGCTGACCAGAGCGAGGGCAGAGGGAGCTGTGCAGAGCTCAGAGAGCCACATGCTCCTGGAGAGGCAGGAGCAGAGGGGATATCTCAGGGAGGACGGACACTACCCTGAGGGCCAGAGGAGCAGAACCGTCAGTGAAGGTGAAAAATGTTGCTAAAACTTTTATTCTGCTCGCTGGAGATTTATAACTTTTTTCCTTACATGTTCTCTCAATTTCAGAGTTTGAACTTCTAATTTTCCTTTTGGAAAAATAACAAATTATGTTATATCTCCTCACGTTTTTCCGTAGGTTACATACTATTGTTAAGACTTTCAAACCACATCCAATATTACAGTACCAGACTGACAGAGAGAATAGAGGTAGGGGTAGAGGCCCACATAAATCTGAAATATATGTTTTTGTTCTATATTCAAAAAGTACATTTCTTTTTTTTTTAAATCATGTCATTCATGTATGTTTTTAACAAACGTGTATGAGGAATAGTTTTGATAAGTGACTCTGAACAAAACAAACTCTAAAAGAACACATTGATGAAGATTGAAACAGACTTAAATAGAGAAACAGATTGTTCATGTTGAGGTCGTGTCGATTTCAGTCGACAACCATTTTTCATTCAAACATATTTCTAACGTCTGTGCTTTGTCAACGTTTTACATTCAAGTTGTGTTTCTCATTTTAGTCTGACCCAAGTTAGATCTGATCAGAGAGAGTAGTAATGTGTTTCGTGAAAAGCTGATAAAATCTGCCTGTCTGTGTGTGGAGTGGGAACACAGTGGTGGAGCAGGATGGGGGCACAGACAAAGATCAGGGTGTAACAGTATCGACAGCGTTGTTTATCAGATTAGAACTATGACAGGGACATTTAAAGGGTCTGCTCTGCTTCTCACCGGAGCAGTAAAGCCCCTTCGTCACGCTGACTCTGCTGCTGACTTTTCTCTGAGAGCTGTGCCTGCGTTGTAGTCATGGGCGTTTCAGAATAATGTGTTAATTAATTAAATGGGTGTATCTGAGAAAGTTTGATTATTAGATCCATTTGCATAACCTATACCAAATGATTTATTTTTTACTTTAATCTACCATGAGAACCTTGTTAACAACCATGTAGTTGCTGACCAGTTATTGACTATCTCCTTTCGTGCACGCTCGACTGCTTGTGCTCACAGATCGGCTGGAGTCGACTGTGGTCACATCCAGAGCAGCGTCAGATTCCCTCAGGACGGCGTGTCAGCCTCCAGCTGCAGATACACACACAGACGACATCGAGTTTCTGCCCGAGGACGAACTGAGCCACATGATGTCAGCCAGACACATGTCCATCAGAGAGAGGTGAGCCTGCTCACACATGTTATAGGCTCGGAGTAGGTAGAGGTTTTTTTATACTGTATATGCAACTACTGTCAAACTTTTAATTTAATTTGAATGCAATTTATATCATCTTAGCTTTAAATGTGCTTCGTGTGCCACCTCTTGAGCCACCAAAAGAAAGAGAAGATCCTTTTTTATTCTCTGATCAAATGTGGGTGAGATGGAGACAGAAAATTGGATCATGAGGACGAGTTATTAGATCTTTCTGCTGCTGCACTGTTGGGCTCTCGAAACTAACGAGAGGAATAAAAGAGCAGCACTGTGCTGGATGTGGAATCAATTTACATTTAATTCACACTGATGCTCTAAAATGCCATTAAACTTCAGTGCATGAGGCTACGACAGCTAATTTAATGAGAAACAGATATCATCAAAATCAGTCCTGTACGCCCGCACAAGCTTCTCATTTAACAACACAACAGGCTTCCAACTGTCCCGTCGTCTCTTCAGGTCGACGGATCGGTCCGAGTCTGTTTTATATTTTTACATTCTTTGTTCTCGACTTTGTTTTAAGGGGAAAAGGTTATATTATAGAATGTATTCAAGCATTTCTGTATTGTATTAAAATGTGATGTTCAGGGTTTAATGTCCACAAATCTACCCATGACCACAATAAACAATATGTTGGATTGTCCAAAGGTCCATAACGTTTCTGTCACTTTCAACACAGAACCTGCTCATAATTTTATATGTTTTTAGTTTGGACTCTGGATACTTTTAGCAAACACTATTCAAACAGGAGGAAATAGCACGTTGGTTAGGAACTAGTTTCATCGGGGTATTTATACACATTCGTAGCATATTGGAGAGCATTTCCCTCAGCAGGACTGTGTGTGAGTCAGAATAAACAATAGTGTGTGTGTGTCACACTGATGTCTATTGTAATGGAGCTCTATGGCACAGATGAATAAGATATATCAGCTTGTGGATATACACACAGTACTTACTGGCAGGAGACATTATTAGTTGGTATTTTCTGTAATGAAATTTATTCACTACATTAAAAACTCTAGAATATCATCAGACACATCATTAACCAGAAAATACTGATGATAGATAGATGGCATAATCACAGCTGTGGCTCAGGAGGTGGAGCAGGTACAGTGCTCTGACTCTATCTGTCTATCTGTGTGTGTGCGTGCGTGCGTGCGTCAGTTTTCACCATGAACTCAGTATTGGATTCTCCACCAAGTGAAATGATTACATAAGTCTGGTTATGTCACATTGTGTTGGCTGTCACAGTCGTCTGGTGTGAGACTGGGAAACACTGGGCAGCGATCACACAATTGATTGATGACATAATGGAATTATATATAAACTGCCTTTAAGTGTTGTGTATCGTCTGTCACATCCCCCACACCCCCCACCCATGTCATCTTTGAGCCTGTTCCATTTTCAAAGCATTTCACTGGAGGCATGGTCTGTTTCCCAGTTACAGCTGGTGACTTGTGTTCAGTGTCTCTCTGAGTCTTTTGTTGCCCCTGAGGCAGAACAGGACGTCCCCTCACTGGGTCACAGAGGGGTGGTTGGAACAAGGGGCAGGGGGCACTGCCCAACACCCTGACCCCCGTCTCCTCCCTGTTTGGAGATGAGAGCTCAATAATTGAACATCTGTTCTCTAAACACTATAGAATACTTGAGTTTGTGATACTATTATACACCTCAACCTGGTTTCCCCTACTCCTTATTTAAAACACAAAAAAATGTGAATTCCTATTACATGATTTTTGGTCTGCCCAGCATCCAGCACCTTTTTCCTTGTCACCCTCCCAGCTCCAGTCACACCGACCTGACGTCTCTAAGTGATGTTTATGTCTAATTGTACTCCAGCTGTCTCGAGTGTGTTTATCTGTGATCCAGACCTCTGTCTAACTGTGGCTGTTAAATGACACACTACCTGCCTCTGTTTAGTATCTACGATCTTTTCTGCAAACTGTCCCGGGATTATAAGACTCGTGGGAACATCCCTGTTTTGTGTTGGCCTCAGTGTTGTGACAGAGGGTTGGAAGTTTTACCGAGCATTAAACTTTAGCACAAGCGTGTCTACAATTAACTGTTGTATAAGATTATTGCACAAAAATGAGAGTGGTGTCAAACTTCCCTCCTAATTTTTGGCAATAAATTCTATTTCTCAAAATGTCAAAGTGTTTCAAACTAGTTCCAAAACTTGAATTCTGTGTAACCACAGTGATATTTTTCAGGCTAGAATGGTGTCACAGTGTTGTGTTGCTTTGCAGTGAAAAGGTTAAATAATTTCAACACAAAACATTTATATTAATATTATGTCGCAGCTTAATTTATCCAGATTCATCATACTGCAATATTATATGGGCAAGTATTTTTCTACTTTATATACAAAATATTCTGCTACAGATTCAGTTTATTAAATTATTAACAAAGCGCAACTTTTGTACACAAACATATTTCCAATCTATTCATTGTTTTATTTATAAGTGTTTTTGAAGCCATTATCATCTTTGGATGTATGACTCAGTCCAACAGTGTCTCTGTAAACCACAGGCTGAATATTAGAGCCAGGTTTTTCTCCCTATTTTTATTTTGTTGTTTATTTAATTAACTTTTCCCCTCTTCCCTCTCTCCCTGCAGAGTTGCCTTGCTGAAGAAGAGCGGTGAGGATGACTGGAGGAACAGGATCAATAAGAAGCAGGAACTGGCGAAGGTGGCCGTGGGCGAGCAGCAGGCTCAGCTCTGGGAGTTGGAGCAGAGCTTCAAGAAGAAGGTAACCACCTGACGTGCACACTCACTGCTGAACGAACGCTACAGACGAGCCTGAGATGCACAGTCGTCTGCCTGCGACTGTCGGGTCTGTTGCATTGTGCTTTTCACACTGTAATGACGCTGTAATGCTGCCTGCATTCATGACACGTGAAAAGGACGATAGAGAGTCCTACTTGAGCTACTTCATATTTATTAGAAACAATATTGCTTCATTTTTGCAAACTGACTTCAAACAAGTAATTTCTGATTTTCTTTTTCTGACATGTAACTCTAGTCAAAGTCAAGAGAGGCATAAATAATCAGGTCTGCAGACAGACATGGCAACAGTTCAGGATATCTCTAAACAGAGAGGTTGTATTGTCTTTGTTTGTGTTGTCATCTCTTTGTCTCTTTCTTCTTCTCTGTTGCATGTTTTTGGGGTTTGGACAGTGTCGAGATACAATCTGCAGTTATTGCAGTCATGATAATATTATATTTAGTTTAGTATCTGAATCATTTACACATTTTTTGGTGCTAGTTTTTTATTCTAAACAGAAATGTAAGGCTGCTAGTATTCAATGGAATTATTCAGTCCATTTTTACATGTGCATACATTATAACATAAAATAAATAACGGTAAATTAAAAACTAATTTAATTGACTATGTACATTTACTTCGAAAATCATAAATAAGAACTCCATTGGCAAACTATTTCCAGTGCTTACTAAGCGTAACTCTGCCCTAAGGATAAGGAAATAGAATTTGAAATACATTTTTCATAGCAAAATTGCACATTTTACTTTTGCATCTGAATTTGTTTGCCCTCATTATAAACAAGGTTAATTCGTTCATGAAAGTCATACACCATGCTAGCACAAAGGGACGATTTACTTTAATTTGATTAAATTATTGTATTCAAAGACTGGCAGCTTTAGGCTTTCATACATATTTTACAGGCTTAATTTCTTCTGGAACATCACTTTATTTAGTTGTTTTGATTCAATTACATATTTCCTAAATTACACTTATCGGAATGTAAAGTCTATTTCTTCAGAGAAAGGTTACTTTGCACTTTAAAAGCATTTGTTTGTTCTAACTGTCAGTGACAGTAACGACTGTCCACTATAATGTGTTGTCTGTGTTTTGTCATGTCTGGCTTCAGCCTTTCTCTCCACTGAACTGCATGTTGCATGTAACCTTCTGTTTTTCTGTTGGCCTTTGTCTCTTCTTGCATGTCCTTTACCCTAAAAAAGATTCGAATAAATGTCATTTCATCCTCTGCATGTTGAGTGTGTCTATGTGTCGAGCTCCTCTGTGTTTTTCAAGGGGAGGGGTGAGGTGCCTCTCTGTTTAGACATATGCACAACAGCTACCATCCACCGCTGGTTTTGTTTCCAGCTGCGTATCAGTGTTTGCTCAGCTCCACTCAGCAGCTCTGTCTGTATCTGAACTCTGGCTTTCAGCCCATGTGAGGCAGATCTTTGCTTCCATGGTTCTGATGCCTTTTTGAATGATGGGACGCGCTGAGGTTGAGTTGCTTTTTCTGGATTTCTGTCTATAAAAGCAGGAAAAATATTTCTCTCTGATCAAGTTGAAGAGATTTCCAAGTAGAGGTCAAGAGTAAAGACAGGGGATGTTGTGTATCTTGCTTTCAATCTCCAATTCATCAGAGTCACTGGACTCAATTCAGTCAGGTTCCTGAGCAACATGAAAGATGAGGCAAGCAGACTAGCACAGATGTCCCACATATGAAGGCGTGAGTCCTCCTGCAGCTGCCACACGTTTGATTCCCACTAGGGACAACTAGAAATCCATAGTTTCACTTATTTTGATATTACATACATATTTTAGTCTTCATATTTTCCACAAAAGAAAAGAGTACTTCAGAGAGTCCAAATCTTATATCAGAAAAGTTTTGTAAAGATTTTTGTCTCATAAATCATGTGGTTTGGCCGCGGTACACAACCATCAGAGACATTGTCCACTCTCACCTGCGGTTGCTTGTCTGTAGGACGATGAAGCGCTGATGATGATGGATGAGCTTGCTGTGTCCGACCAGCTGTGGGTAAGGCCGGTGTCGCCAGAACCACACAAACATACACACACACACACACACACACACACACACACAAACATGCGGTGGTGTTTACAAAGAAAATGCATTAAAATTGTATTAGTTATCTAAACTGAACATCTCAAAATGAATTCCCCGGCTGCTAACACGCTGTCTCGATGAATACACCGTTGTTGTTGTGTGTGTGTGTGTGAGTTCATGTGTTGGTATTAGTGTTGGTGCTCTGTGTTGTAGTCACGGTGATGGTGTAGTTATGGTGTGTGCTTCTCTAATTCACCCCGTCTGTGCTCAGTGGTTGTTCTGTGCTCGAGGATTTCTCTCACACTGAATGTGTTTTCTTTGTGCCTGTGTGTTAAAGTTTCCCATTTACTTCTAAAATTGAGCCATTATTCATCTCTAATTAATTCGATTTGGTGCCGGACTCTGATCATTATCCTTGTTCTGAAATATCAGTGATACGATAAGTGTTGTTGACATTTAATCCAAACAGTTTATCTCACTTCTCTGCCTCCTGTTTCCTCTCCACTTCCTCTGCTGAGGTCTGTTGTTATTGAGGTCATGTCCCTGGTCATATTTCTGTGAATACAGGGTAATAACAGGAAGAGAAAATATTACACATTATAGTGATTTAAAGCTGATTATTATATGATTGCCGGATATATAATTAGGTAAGTATTTACGAAAAGGTTTGCCATAGCAACTTTATAAGTCGATAATGTCCATATCTACAGCTTGGTTTGCTGCCTTCAAGTGACCAAAATCCATCAAGTAACATGATTTAAAATAAATGTAGTATCCAAATTAGACAGGGGGCTTTAAAACAGCATTTGGATCATAACTGTTATAGCAATAAGGTTTATATTAAAAATGAGAACCGTGAAATGAGTGAGATTTTATTTTTTAAGGGGTACTTCGGTGCTTACTGTTCTATTTCCATAAAGTTGAGGAATTTGTGAAATTGATAAAAAAATAATGATTAAAATAGAAATAGCAGAGGATACAGTATCTTCACTTACACTGTCGTGTATGGGTCAGGTTCCAAAAACAATGAAGGCAACTGAATTTTGAAATTAAATAGTTTCTTTCATTGGACCCTCACTCCCACTTGTACCACTCTTAAAAAATGGTCAACAGCCGTGTTGCTCCAACTCCACAACCTCAGTTTGTAACTCAGCATTTCACCAACCACAGGCTGATTCAACCAAACTGAAACACGTGTTTCTCACTAGACATTTCTGGTAAAGTGAGCCTCATCAATGAATCAGTGCAGTGACCCGTCAAATCAGTTCTCTGTGGTATTTATTACAGTGACCTCAGTGTGAAATAATAAACTCCGCCCTACAACTCCACAGCTGCTGTACTCTTGTTGATATCCTGTGTGTGTGTGTTTCCTCTATCTGTGGCCTCCATAGGAGCCAGTCTTTGCCTCGACTTTCTCTCCCGAGCCTCTTTTTCATACCCTTTCCCCTGATGATTCAGCCAGTCAGGTACGAAGCTGCTCCAGATCTCTCTGCCTGCCTCGCCAACGCCCCGCTTACTTCAGCTCAAAAATCCATACGCAAAATCACAAACCCCATTGCTTTAACAGGCAAATGTATAATTTAATTTAAACTCATTCCTTGAATCTATAAAATATCTTGTATAAGGAGCAAGGATTTTTTAAATGAAGACATTCCTGTGTGGGACATTTTCACAATAAATACTACCAGTACTTTACCTCTCCACTGCTGCAGTTGCGGCTTTTCCGACAAAGCTATTTTGGCTGGAACTCATTGGGATTACTAACGCTCTGCTGTCCTCTACAGCCACCCTGCCCCTGTTGTATGTCATTCACTATCCATCCCTTCCCCAAAGCTTCATCACTGTGCCCATGAAGACAGCATGGCGGTCCCTGCAGCTTCTAGCTTGTGCAGAGAATTTCCTATTCTGCCATATACACAGCTGCTGTCTTACTGTTTCCATCTTCATCTCATAATCCTCATCCTGTTTTACCTCATGCCCTCCTCTGGTTGTGAAGGCCCCCAGTTCTCCCAGACCCATGCAGGTGGATGAGAGACACCCCTGGAGACGGAAGGTGACTCACCGTGTCAATACTGTTTACTCTGCTCTGGCAAATTCCCCACATCCCAACCACCCACTCTCAAGTGGACGTGCTGAACAAAGTTTCTGAAAACACCAAACTAGTCGCAAATACAGTTTGTTACTCGGAATAAATGGTCTGCTACCCTCTGCTTCGTTGCATTACCTAACATTTTGTTAATTTTAATTTTATGAGAAACACTAAAATATTTTAAAGGTCAATTACTGGGATTAACGCCTGCCCTCACCCTTGCATGCATCCAGCAGAAGAGAATAAAAATGAATTATTCTCCTTTGGATGCTGTTAAAAGGATTAATGTGCTTCATGGTTATTCGTTGCCCCCCTTTGGTATCCTTGTTTTGCTTGTGTGTTTGTGAATGTGGTCCCTTGTTTGAGCAAAATACAACATTTAATTACCATACATAACACTTTAACACAGTTGAACACAGCCACTAAGTGTAAGATGCAGTCCTGGTTCCATTTTGATTTAGTTTAACTATAAGAAAACATAAATACTTGTGTAATTATTTAAAACATCAACCTGAATATTTTGGCTTATCAGGGTGACGGGTCTGTCTATCGTCTGCAGGTTTGCTGCAGGGCTCACATTAAAGATAAATTGCACAAAGTGGTTTCTGGAATGCATCGGGCATCACTGTTTGAGGCTATATTACAGTGTTCAAGTATCCCAAGGTAGATTCATCCTTTAACTAAGTAGTGATTGTACCTTTTCATCCTCTCTTTTCTCAGAGAATAGCCGAAGCTGAGATGGAGTGCCAGAGCATCGAGTCTCACATGTCCATCAACGAGAGGAAACAGCTGATAGTGGCCCAAGAGGAGGCCTGGAAGAGCAAAGGCCACGGAGCGGCCAATGACTCCACCCAGTTCACCGTGGCTGCACGCATGGTGAAGAAAGGTTAGAGGGCGAACTGAACCCACGTGCTTTCTCTACAATTCTCTTTCTGTCTTATATATCCATGCACACACATGCTGGACTGCCTGTAAGTCCACAGTCTCAGCTCCCTGCTCTGAATCATCCAAAGCCTCGGTTTGCAGCCTGAGGAAAATGCTTCTCCTTCTCCTCCCGCCATCCGGCCCAGACACACCAGACCGGTGCTCAGAGGCCTCTGCTCAGGCAGAAAATGCTTTAATGGTTTTTCTCTGCAGTTGATGGAGGGTTTAATTTGTGTTTTGGGGGAATTGTGGTTTTAACCAGATTATAGCTAATGGAGAATCGTTTAGGAAGGAGCCACATTAGAAACAGTGACCTTATCCAACTTTTCAGGCATCATAGACGGTGCTTCTGTAGAGTAGCTCTGGCTGCAATGTTACTGTGCAGCTGCCTTTCATTACTCATGTCTTTGGTGTTTAAAAGCTGCTCTAATTAATAGTTTTATATCAGATAGGTGAAAAACTACTATAATGTTTAAAGTTTAGTTTAATTTTTGTGTTCTAAACTCGCTGGAGCATTTGTTAGGTCTTCTACGGTTTGTTTAAATCTGTTGCCTCTATTATTATTATAATTTCATTAACAGATGAACACATATAGTCACATCAGTGCCCTAAAGAAACAAAACTATGAACTATGCTTGTGTCTGTCTATGTTCCTTTATCAGGGTTGGCCTCCCCCTCTGCCCTCCAGTCTCCAGCATCGTCCAAACCTAAGAACAGCAGCCCTGCTATCTCCAAACCACAGGAAGGTCTGTCCCTCTCTCATTTGATGTTGAAAACTCAAAACCTTCATAAATACTCTGTAAATTGTTCTATCACACTCTTGGGTTATTGAAAAATTGAGAGTTCAGCAGCTGCTCAAATCTGATTTAGACTTAATGACCTGACTTTGTTACATCCTCCGCTGACACAACACACGAATCCCAAACACAAGTAACTGAAATCTTATTCTGAACAGAGTATTGTGTGATTTCTGATTCTGAACTATTCAACTCTCAGCTGATGCTAAATTTAGTTTTGGAAGGAATTGTGTGTCCGATCTGTAACGGATTTCCTTTGCTTCTCTTTCAAAAGACATGGAGGAGATGTCTGATACTGAAGGTTTATTTCTACTTTTTTATGTTGCACTGAATGCATCATTCATCATTATCACCAAAACCACAAATATCATCTACACATGTTGCTGTGACACTTCTATTAGGTTACGAAGCCTAATAGAATTTAAACCATGGGATAGTGTTCACTGTGAATATGCATGAGTCTGAGTAGCAGAGGAAGTCAGTGACTGTTAGCTATGTTTGCATTAATGTCATTGTGACTGTATGTAAGTTCATCATGCCCATATGAAACAGCATCAGAGTGGCTGCCCTAAAATAAAACGTAGCTGTATGGCTCTAACAGCTCTGTGTGTGTGTGTGTCTGTCTGTGTGTGTGTGTCTGTGTGCGTTGCAGAGATCAAGGCCGTACCCGATCTGAACCTGGAGTCAGACAGGAAGCTGGATAAGCTGGAGTCATTCCTGGGCAAGCTCAACAGTAAAGGTCAGTCCTGTTCATCATACTGTCAACAAGTTCATCGGGCCTCAGCTTGGGACTCAGACGTGTCACACTGTTCAAACAAAACAAAAAGGAGGCGACATTAAGGAATCACATGTCACTATTATCTCCTCTTTAACTGAGACCAAACTTTTTGCACTGAATAAAATGTTCTCAAGTTCACTTACTGTTAGTTTAGTAACTAGTTTTATTATTAGCATTGCATTTGTCTAGGCAGATATTGCATGAGTTAATATTTTTCTTTAAATAATGGGTTTATAAGAGTCACTGCTAATGAGTGACTGATATGAGTCTCTTTCAGGTACAACCTTGTTATGTAAATATTTTCGCAATTTAACATGTCGGTCTCAAATCACTTCCATATCATCTTCATGGAATGAAATGTCATCAGATAAACGGAAAACCTAAAACCCTGCCCCAACCTACGGTTACATATGTCATTTTTATTAAAACACAGCAAATATGGATCAAACAAGCCTCCCAGCTAAATCTCATATGGTTCTGATTAGAGCTTCAACTGCAAAATAAGTTTTTAAGTCCATCAGTAATGCTGCCTATGACCCAAAGTGCTTTTAAACTCAGTGCTCCCTCTCTTATATCAGATTCTAAATATCATGTGATCATCTCCCTCTTTCTTTAACGGTCCTGTCAGGTCTAAATAAAAACCTCTGAGTGTCACTCTGTTACTAATTCTGTAGACGTATGGAATTCAACAACAGCTGGACTTCCATATGACCTCTACACAACACGCACCAGCTTTTGTCCTCCACATTATGTCCGGTGCACGGAACTATCTTTTCCTGCAAAACCATTGACGATTGGAAGTCTGTGCAGAAAAGCAGGGTTTTCACAGGGGACTCAACAAGTCTAACATATAATAATCTGAATTTTAGGGCTTAAAAAGTTAAGATATTACATGCTAAGTCTTATAATGCATTAAGGCAAGTCTCAATGTAATGTTTATTCAATGCTATTTAAATAAATACATTTTATAAATGTTGTAAACATTAATTGATTCAGATATTAGCTCACTGTAATTACTACAAACAAAATCAATATGGGACTGGACTAACTAACTAACTAATGTATTTATGTGGAAAAGACAATAGATCTCTATCTGAGAGATAATGGTTGAGGGTTATTACTCTCCTTGGCTGCTTCATTTTATTTTTTATTATGGGGAAGTGAAAGTAATACACTTGTCGGAACCTACTGAAAAAGACTCACTGATAATAATTTTTTAAAAATCTTTATGCATACACAGAAGTAAGATATTCATTAATAGAATAATAGATCTTCTTACTTTGCTTAGTGATGTTTGCACAGGCAAACGTTCTGCCGCTGTAACTTGAGTGAATTGATGAAGTGATAATTTATGATCCTGACACAGTCTTGTCCCCTCCCAGTGTCTGGCCTGCCAGAAGCTACCATCTCAGTGACAGAGAAGAAGGTGAAGGAAGTGATGAACCTCGAGGATGAAACATTCTCCAAGTTCTACCGCCATGTGGAGGAGCTCCCCTCCATCACCAACAAGGTGGAGATAGACGACGACTTTGATGCCATCTTTGGTCCGCAGGTGCCAAAGTAAGTTTCCACTGCCAGAGGTTGATTTTAAGTAGTAACCCTTACTAAGCCATGACTGTGAAGTCCCTTCCTGTCAATCGTGACACTTCCCCTCTGACCCCCTCCCAGACTGACCTCTGAGATGGTGCAGCACAAGCGAGCGGTGCGCCCGACGCGTAACGTCCAGTCTTCTCGGAACCCGCTGAAGATTCTGGCTGCTCGGGAGGACATCCGACACGAGTACACGGAGCAGAGGCTCAACGTGGGCCTGCTGGAGAGCAAGAGGATGAAGGCTGAGAAGAGTGAGTGAGAGTAGATGAGGAACGGGAGAACACATGAGAAAAGAGATGTTCAGTGATGCAACATGGGACAGTTTTTCAAAATCAGCTCTAAATCACAATTCTTGATGTAACTCCATTAAACTTAGATTGATTTGATGGTCTTTAAAAGTTTGATGTGAACATTCTATTGAAAATGTTATCCAATTTTCGTAAAGCATCAAATTCTTCTCATTAATCACCATCAAATCAAAACCTGTGGAAATTGCATTTTTGAATAGCACATTTTTTTCTTCATTTTTAAGATTTTAAATTTGTGCACTTATTACAGACAAGACCCTATACCATAATAATAATTAAAGAATACTGTGATCTTTGTTATGCAAGACTGTGTTCTTCAATCTCTAAATTTTCTCTCTACTGTAAATGAATCCACTGAAGCCTCTGTGGCTTTTAAACTGACCCACATCGAACATCGGAGTCTGTTTCCTGTCATTGTACAGAGCAGTTCTCATAGGATAAGGGTTGTTTTTGAGCTGCATGCGTTTTTGGGGTGGGCGGGTCATCTCTAACTTCCTCCTTCACCTCCTCTGACGGACACTCAAGCTGTCTCTGTATTATTTGTTGCTTTCACATTGAGACCTTCATTGTCATGCCTCAGAGAAAGTATTATTTTATTTTTAACTTCTCTGAATATGGGCTAATTATGAATTTTTAATGTTTTGTATTATGACCCTTCTCTCTGTCTCACGCTCCCCGCTCTCGTCCCTCCCTATGTCCTGTACCATACAGTGAATAAAAACTCTGGTTTCTCTGAAGTGGCTCTGGCTGGTCTCGCCAGCAAGGAGAACTTCAGCAACATCAACCTGCGCAGTGTCAACATCTCCGAGCAGATGTCCAACAACAGCGCTGTGCCCTACAAGAAGCTCATGCTGCTGCAGGTCAAAGGTCGGTTGAATGGACAGCCTTCTTCTTAAAACTTAAACGAACAAAACTCAAACTAATAAGAGACTGAAATGTAGAACGTACCACGGTCAACTTTTAGACCACAACCCACCCATCGGGGCCTTCAGCCAGATATCAGACAGGGACGTTACAGATATACAAATACAGAGATCAACTAGAATGACGCTCAGTAGAGCACATACCTCCACCAAGGCCCAACAGACTCCTAAATTTAATCAAGCTGAACCAAATTTCACACACATAGATATAAGTGCCTTAAACATGCCGGGTTATTTTCATCAAGACCCATGAATTATTCCCTTTTTTTAACAGATCCACCCCCTGATGAGTTGTTCCCTAAACCCACACTGCATCCTTTCAGCAAGTTTCATAGAAATCCATGTTGTTGTTTTTGTAAAGTGTTGTCTTATGGGAAACAACCCAACAAACATACGGATGGGGTGAAAACATGACTTCCTTGGCAGAGCTCCGTTAAGACACTGCTGGACATTTCTCCTCAGAGGCCACATTTTGAGGTTATCGTGCTGTATACTGCATTCTTCCAAGTCCTGAGGACACTTTGATAAGACATGTTTAAGGATGCAGCTTCTCTTTTGTATTGGCTTGGTTTTTGTCAAGACATGCAGTAGTTGAGTTGTTTACTAGTGGTTCTATTCAGTATACAGGAAAAACAGACTGTTTTACACCAAGCCGTGGAGGATGAGGCTCGAAGGCCGTCCTTTCCACAGGATATCTAAAATAAGAAACAAGAGTGGGTCTATTTATGTGTCTGTGCACCTCCTCTACAAGTGTGTTGGTGACAGCTGTGACTCTAAATCATTCCCCCCAGGTCACCTCACACTCTCCTGGTCTGATCCTCTCCTCCCAAACACCACAGAGTACCTAACTGATTGTGGCAGTTTTAGTTAGTTTTGTGTTTAGAAGTTTTTTACACAAAATGGCATGTACATTCATACACGTAATGGCTGGCTCATAATGACAGTGATAGTCTGAGGTGACACTAACGAGCCACTGGTCTGTGCGTTTGTGTAAAACCAGGGCGAAGACACGTCCAGACCAGGCTGGTGGAGCCCAGAGTGTCCTCCCTGAACAGCGGGGACTGTTTCCTGCTCATCACGCCGCACCACTGCTTCATCTGGACCGGAGAGTTTGCCAATGTCATCGAGAGGAACAAGGTTGGTCACACTCCATTAGAGTCACATCAACATAAGTGGAGCGGGGTTGTGGTGATGTGGGGCAGCCTTCACGTGCAGGATGTAAACACAGCTGTGGGAGGAAGAAGCCGTGGCACAGCAAAGGAAGAAGTGTAATTGTGTGTGTCTGTATCGTGGGGTTGTGGCAGGAAACTGACTCAAGACAATTGTTCAAAGCCCAGACTGACTGATGACCTCGGCTGAGCAGAGCACTGGCCTCCATCTGAAGGAGAGGAGGGCTCCGAGTCGTGACCCACATAATGTTTAGGCCTTTGTTTGAGTGTAGTTCATATTAAGGAAAAAAGTTTGATTCTAGAGAGAATCTTATAGATTATTAGTTATATATAAATATTTTTTTCATTTTTAATGATCTTCGTACCTCTTTAAATTAGGAACAGTATGTTAACAATTGCTCTTATTTATTAAAAAAACGACAAACACCTTATTTTTTGTTCTAAAAATATTAGCTTCAACAGGAACCCATCCATAAGAAGCGTGTAACTAACGTATTACATTTTTCTATTTTGTCTTCTCAGGCTGCAGAGTTGGCCAACTTCATCCAGAGCAAGAGAGATTTGGGTTGTCGTGCCAACCACGTGCAGTTCATCGAGGAGGGTCCCATCACTCACAGCCACGCTGCCAGGGAGTTCTGGAAGATTCTGGGAGGACAATCAAGTTATCAGTGTAAGGATTCATATCAGTGGGTTGAAACTGAGGAAAACCAAATCTGAATTAGTGAAATGCAACGTCCCTCTCCTTGCAGCTGCAGGAACACCAGATGAAGATGAGTTGTATGAGGGCGCCATCGTGGAGACAAACTGTATTTACCGCCTGATGGACGACAAACTGGTCCCAGACGATGATTTTTGGGCCAAGATGCCTCGATGTTCCCTGCTCGAACCCAAGGAGGTCAGATAACATAGATTACCCTAAACATATGAAATAGGTGAACATGAAAAGCTGTAAATCAGAACTCTATTTAAAGTCAGTATGTGTTTTTAAATGTTGAAATGCTTCCCCCCAGTGGTCATAAAAATAAAAAAGATTTTCCATTGCAGGTTTTGGTGTTTGACTTTGGCAGTGAGATGTACATATGGCACGGGAAGGAAGTGACGCTTGCACAGAGGAAGGTGGCGTTCCAGCTGGCCAAGCACCTGTGGAACGGCACCTTTGACTTCACAAACTGTGACATCAACCCGCTGGACCCAGGAGAGTGCAACCCACTCATACCCAAGTATGGAAACTCACACCCCAGCTCAAAATCATAAACTAAACCATTAGAGTGCATACCTCTGCCAAGGCCGAGCAGTCCTCTTTTTATTGAACCTCTTTGTTGCAGTCCACAACAACAAAGAGGTTACAGAAAGTTGAGAACATTGTCGTGGATTGAAGCTCTGGTATTGTGTCACTGATTCACTGTCTCCTCCTCCGCTGTAGGAAAGGTCAGGGCCGACCTGACTGGGCAGTGTTCGGCAGACTGACTCAACACAACGAAACTACTCTGTTCAAAGAAAAGTTTGTGGACTGGAGCGACTCCAGGAAAACACCCAGCCCCACAAGAAACACCAACAACCACGTCCCTGAGCAGAAGGTTCCAAAAGTACATTAGTCTAAAGTGTGAATTATATTATAGAGGATGATACAAAATATCGGGTGCTGATCTGTACCTGTGTCATCACTCCTCTCCTCAGGAGCCGTCCGCCACCGATCATCGCCGCGCGTATGACGCCTCCCTGATGCTGCACCCCCATGAGGCGCCGGTCTGCTCCAAGCTGGATGGCTTCAATGTTGGCCGGGGCTACGGCCTAGTGGAGGCCGAGGAGTGGCGGAGCTACAAGATCAGCACTCAAGCGGTGGAGGTGTGGCACATCCTGGAGTTCGACTACAGCCGTCTGCCGCGCCAGAGCATCGGCCAGTTCCATGAGGGCGACACCTACGTGGTGAAGTGGAAGTACATGGTCAGCACTGCAGGTTAGTGTTGGGTTGCAAAATGGATCATTTAATAGTTTTCCAGGCTTGTAGGGTGTCACATCCCCACATTCATTTCTAACCATTATTCCATCAGTTGGGAAGAGACAGAACCCAGATCAGGTGAAGACGGCGGGACAGGGCAAAGAGAAGTGCTGCTACTTCTTCTGGCAGGGCCGCAACTCCACCGTCAGCGAGAAAGGAACGTCAGCACTGATGACGGTGGAGCTGGATGAAGAGCGAGGAGCACAGGTACACTTGTGTGCATTTGTTTTCATGTATTCAGCACTTTGAGTGGACAGACAGCATGACTTCTCCCGTCTCACCTCATCTCCCTCCAGGTTCAAGTCCAGCAGGGGAAGGAGCCTCCATGTTTCCTCCAGTGTTTTAAAGGAGGGATGGTTGTTCACTCAGGGAAGAGAGAAGAGGAGGAGGAAAACTTGCAGAGTAAGTTTTCATTCAGCTCTGTCATTAGTTCAAGAAAAACAAATCAAGTTTTTCTCCTTTGTAGTTTCAGTTAAATGCTAAAACATATTTTCTTACCTTGTGCGTGCCTCTCCTCCTCATTTTGCTGGTGTCTTGCTCAGATGACTGGCGCCTCTATTGCGTGAGGGGAGAGGTGGAGGTGGAGGGCCACCTGCTGGAGGTGGCCTCTCACTGCAGCAGCCTGCGCTCCAGAGTCTGCATGGTGCTGCTGAGCGTCAGCCAAGCCGTCATCTACCTGTGGCACGGCTGCAAGTCTCAGACACACACACGGGAGGTGGCGCGCACCGCAGCCAACAGAATCAAAGAACAGTGAATGGAAACTTTGATTATTTAAAAAAGCAAATCTTAAGAACACTTCCACTTGTGAAACATACTTACATATAGCCATTTCTGATTTGCTTTGACACTGTTGTCTTTGTGCAGTTGTCCTCTGGAAGCAGGCCTCCACAGCAGCAGCAAGGTGACCATCAGAGAGTGCGACGAGGGAGCAGAGCCCACAGGATTCTGGGAAGCCCTCGGGAGGAGGGACAGGAAAGCGTACGACTGCATGCTGCAAGGTGGGGGAACATGAGAGCTTAGAACCTTAGAACACATGCAGGGTGTTTACAGTGCAATTTACTAATGCCCTTGTTTGTGTGTGATCTCTTTGACCTTTGACCCTCAGACCCTGGCAGGTTTAACTTCACGCCGCGTCTCTACCAGCTGAGCAGCAGCTCAGGGGAGTTTGTAGCCGTGGAGTTCCTCTACCCTGCCAGAGACCCCAAACAGGTCAACTCCATGCCCTTCCTACAGGAGGACCTTTATGCAGCTTCCCAGCCAGGTACACACACACACACACACACACACACTAAATGCTGTAGATGCTATTCAGTTACATTTAGGAGGTCAAATATCAGATGAAACACTGCAGATCATATAAACTGGTTTTGACCCAAAGAGATGACATTGCCTACACATTACATGGGATGAGTTTAGATTTCAAGTGGTTGTTTCATATATCTTCAGTCATATATTCTTAGCGTAAGTGAAGGTAGGGCTACAACTACAATCATTTTTAACTTATCAGTCAACAGTTATCACCAAAAGTCCATAGCACAGTAATATTCAGGAGAATAACTTAAAAAAGAGAAGCTGCAAATCCTCATGAGAGAGAAGCTTGGACAAGAGGATGGACTATATTTTTGCCTGATAAATAATAATAGACTAATTGTTTAAGGTCTAACTTTCCATAAAACCAAATTATAACCTTAACTTGGCTTTCTAAAAAAAAGTTCTGATGCCACTTCACCCAAAAAAGTCATGAGAATACTACTTAACTTGGAATGTCTTTTTTTTTTTTTTTGACAGTGCAGAGAATACCTGAGTCCAGTAATTTGTGTTTGTGAATATCTGTAAAAAAAAAGTACCCCTAATGTTTGTCCTCTATTCTCTCCTGTGTCCAGCCCTGTTCCTGGTGGACAACCACCATGAGGTGTATCTGTGGCAGGGCTGGTGGCCTCAGGACAGTGAAAGCACCGGCTCAGCCCAGATCCGCTGGGACTCGGACAGGAAGTGTGCCATGGAGACTGTCCTGCAGTACTCTAGAGGTAGCCCACTTCATTCTTATTATGTCTACACACGTTCATATCATGACGTTTGTTTCTGTCCATCACTGATTGATATAATATTTTTGAGTGGTTGTAAAGAGGAATAAATCTAGTTATATTGAGGCCATGGTTCTTGTTGGATTGGTATTTGGCTAAATGGATATTGAAAACATGGATTATGTGAGAGCAGTAGGAAACTTCAAAGAATTAAGAATTATAGGCTATATTATTTTAAGACTAAAATGGAATGGTAAGATTAAGGTCATGGTACAGAGAGATTTATTTTGGGATGATGTTTAACTGATGTGTTGAGGCTGGGATGGAGGATACATGTTAAGTGTTTGCTGCCCAGAAAAGAGTAAAATCCACCAACCAAAAGACAAATCGCATATGTTTCAATGTATTTGGTATATACTCTGTGTAAACGCCCTATTTTGTTAACCGTGCATAGTTAATATATTGTATTCCTCCCTCCATTAACACAGGGAAGTGTAGTACTAAACCAAAACTGCATAAAATGCTTGTAACCTAATTTTCAGTGAGCCATTCTTGCTTCATATCCTCAGAAAAGAATGAGAAGAAGCCTCCCAAAGCGTATCTGATCCATGCTGGTCTGGAGCCGCTCACCTTCACCAACATGTTCCCCAGCTGGGAGCACAGAGAGGACATCGCTGAGATCACTGAGAGGGTGCGTGGATCCAATCACTTTATCTGATTACGACCAGATACATCAACTGATATGAAGCTCAGTGTCCTCTCATATTCTAAAGTACAAAAACACCATTATCCCTGTAAATTGATTATTTAATTTCCAGCTCTCTGGGTTGAAATGATGTATCCGGTATGTTGTGTGCTGTCAGGAGGCAGAGGTGTGTAACCAGATTATCCTGGTGGAGGACGTGTTGGCCAGGCTGTGTAAAACCACCTACCCCCTGGCAGACCTTCTGGCCCGGCCGCTGCCTGAGGGAGTCGACCCTCTTCGCCTGGAGGTCTACCTGTCTGAGGAGGACTTTGAGGTAGGAACACGCTGGCTACAGACTGTCACTAATGTAACTGTAAATATGCAGAAAGTTTTTATATGTTTACCTACCAATGGAGTAAAATGCCACAATTGAACTGTAGGTTTCACTTAGGATTTAATGTGCAGTAACTTATTCATGTTTCTGAAACTAAAGGAACAAGTTTCCATTTTGATGTGAAACCTTGTCAAACACAAGGTCGGTTACATTTTGCTCAAACATGCATCTGATTACTGAAAAATTGTGTTCGCCTTATTGATCCAAATGTCTTATATTATATATTTCTAGTTTTGACTGTCAAACAATTCTCATAAAAAGACAAAAACAATGTCTTGGTCCACAAACTTTCTGGCTTTCTGACTTCCTGTCTGTGGCTCTCAGCCTCAAGCTCATTGGTTCCTATTAGAGAACACATGTCACCACCTCCGACTAGATTTCTAGGAGGATCTAGACAAATCAGCAAAACCTACAGAGACCAGCATTAGAATAAGGAAAGTTAAGGTCACAGTCTCCAGGGAATGAATTGAGGGTGTGTGTTTGTTTCTGTTAGTCAAATTATTATTTGAGTCAGGAATGTTGTATGTGTTTGCTGTTAGTTGATCATTGAGCCTCTTGAGATTCCTCAATTCATTCATGCCTCTCCTTTGCTTTTCTATCTATGTTCTGTCATCTTCTCTCCATCCTCTCATCTCTTTGTGAACTTTCCTTTTTTATTCATTCCACACTCCAGGGTGTAGGGGCTTATGGGAAGGTGAGTGGTCTGAGTTGAGCATGGACGGCCCGGACTCGTTACACTACAGCCTCCTCACTTCTTATTCCGCTCTTTCACTCATATTCCACTTTCCGTCCAACTCTGCTTCACTACTGGTTTTCTTATTTTCTTTCTGTTTTCATTTGTTCAGCATGTTGTTCACTCACAATCTACAAGTTGGCGTGGACACCTGGATTTATGAGATTTGACTCAAACTTGACACAGATGATATTTTACCGGGATAGCAGAATGTTGTTTGCTCTTAATCTCACTGATGCATGAGTGTGTTCGGAGGTTGCCCATTCCTCACTAAGCGGCAGGATGTTTTGGTTTGAAAATCCTGAACGATGTGTATGGTAATCTACAGTGTGACTGCTGGTACTGTGTTGTGTCACCCTGACTGTGCGCGTGTCTCATCCCACAGAAAGGCTTGGAGATGACCAGAGAGGAGTATGGGAGTTTGCCCGTCTGGAAACAGGTGAATTTGAAGAAAGCCAAAGGACTTTTCTAAATCGCTGAAATAGAGGAGGTGGAAGACGTCACAAAAACCACCGAGATGTTGTTTCGTCTCTTTTATTTGTTTACGCCTGTGCACAACCGAGGCTCGGGGGGAAGCTCCTAACAGGAGGCTTGAAGATGGAGGAGAGGAGTCAGAAAGTCGTGCAGCAGATTTCCCCTCTCATCTGCTTTTTGTCTTGTTTTCTGTTTGTCAAATGTAGGCAGATGCACGTATGAGTGAATGCGTTCATAGATTTTGTTTAGATTTATACTTTGTTAATGTTTGTACATATGTACAATACGCAGGACAACCAGTGCCCTTACATTATCAGCGATGCAGCCATGTGTTGGAGTGGGAGCAGGTCTGTCAACCTGTTCCGCACACGTCACATCACCCTCTGTATGTATGTTAATGCATTACAAATTATTTATATTTATATCAAATCTATAAAGGATTTTTAAAACCCTCATGAATATTTACTGAACTAAAGTGATAAAGTGTATAATGAATGTGCTGGGGAGGTTTGTGTCATATGTTAATAAATACTGGATATTAGATTAAACTTGCTGTACAGTTCACCGTTTGCCATTTACAGATCCAATGATGCAGCTTTAATTGGACGCATTTAGTGTCATTATTGTCTCATTATAGTAAAAAGGATACAGGCTTGATTTCAGGCAGAGAAAGTGATGAAATGCATTTGATTTTAAAATCTGACAGTGTATAGTGCCTTGCTTTGTGTACAGTTTATATACAGATCATAGTCTGCATTTTGAAGACTCTTTGTGATATAAAGATCTATTAGAGAAATAAACCCTGGATGTTGGATATTGGAAAAGCTTTTGTTGGTCTTTATTCAACTCACTTTGCTGTTTTCTTAGTGGTCTTGTCAAAGTCATTATAAGCATGTACCCAGTAGAGGGCAGTATAGGTCTAATTTTTACAGACTGAATACATGACAGTTGCAGAAACTCAGACAGTGGGATACATGTCATGTGGGAGTAATATCACACTAACTGTCAATACCCCTGAGCACAAGTTTGCACAAGTTTTCTTAAGATATATTTACACATAGAGCAGTTTTTCAATGTTCGACAGTTTAATTTTCACCCAAGTTGTCCAGTTGGAGTACAACTGTGAGGAAATTGAGGTAAATATAATAGGAGAGCAGGGGAAAACATCCAGGGGCAATAACTTATGTTTCATTTTTCTCTTTCATCATTTCTTCTGAAGTACTGAGTGATTTTAACTGAATTATATTTGAGTCTATGATTAATTTATTCTTCTTAAATAGAATTTTAAAAAATTGCTATTTGGGCCAGAAGCCAGAAACAGTAGGTTAACAAATAGTATTTGCCCCTTAGGGATGATGTTGATGTAATTTGTCTAAAGGAAACAGAGATCAGCATAAATCCTTGACTAGAACAATCTGCCAGTGAAAGTGTAATTTTCTGTCAAACTCTTTAGAAAATAAAATACTGATTTGATCATGGTTCCCAAACTGGAACCAGCAGATCCATGAAGGGAAAGCATGGAATAAAAGTAGAATTCATCAGATTTATAGGGTTATCAAAGCAGACAGTTTGACTTTTATATTATTATCAATATTATTATAATGTGTTCTGTTCCAGTGTCGGCGTAAGTTATGACAATGAACCAGCATCTTGGAATTTAAGCTGCCACATGGAATTCAGCCGCGCATGTTCCATTAATTCCCTTTATCAAAAAGGAAAGGTTAAAGAAACAAAATTGCTCTGATGTTAGCGAGGCTATCACATGAGGGGGATTTATTTAGAGAGATTTATTTAGATGATACATTATTGAAATGAAAAAATATGAAATCTATCTTCTTTCTATCTACTATCTCAGTGTAGTGGCAGAACCTTATGAGTTAACATGAAAATGTTTGAATGTAACTAACTACATTTGCTTAAGTGTGAATCTGAGGTTCTTATAATTGAGTTGTTCCATTTATTGCTATATTTATACTTTCACATCAATACTAATGGTAAAATATCTAACAAGCTGCATACTTAAGCAAAAAAATGCACTTCTATTAAAAAATACTACTTAAATACAGTTTCTTTTTCTTTATCTGCACAAAAGAAACTCATGAGACACGTGTTGGGAGAAATGCACTATTATTTTCTCAATAATTGTAACCCTGCTTTTTGTCTATAGTACAGTTAGCAGTTAATAAGAGTGGATAATATTTTCAGCTTTTACAGAAGCATGTGACTGAGAAGGTTTGGGAGCTGCTGGTTGAGGCAGTGAAAACTGACTGTGTGTAAATGTGGTGACTTTGGCACATGAGGACATGGAATCAGGCATTATTCTGGAAACTGTAATTAAAAAGTCACTACGTGTTGATGTTACACTCCTATTACCTCCTCTGACAGTGGCTGTGATCACCAGCGCTCCTTTGGGTTGATACGCAGTTAACCACCTACATTTATTGTGTGTGTGTGTGTGTGTGTTCTCTCCCCATATGGCAGCTTTATGAATTCTGTTAAAAGCTCAGTTACCTACGTGAAGTTGCACACACACACACACACACACACACACACACACACACACAGGTGAAAGCTGCAATCAGCCATTAAACCTCACGGCCTCATTTTTCCAGGCCTTCCTCCAACTCTACACACACAGTCACACACACACTTGCACTGAAAGCTCTCAGATGTTCTCAATATCAGCCGTTGGCCTGTGTTGAGGAACAAGAGCAATTAGAGGGGAGTTTCATGCAATCACAGTAGAACAATATACACAGCAGGTTTCTGTCCATCCAACTGTTGCTCGAGTGTTGCTCAATATTTTCACAACCTTGCTGACAGCCTGCTCTGAAACAGCAACAAGAGAGAGAAGAAGCTGCTGCCTTTTCCAGGGGAGGTTGGCAAGCGGCTGCGTGGCGCTGGCTGTTTTTCATCTGCTCGCCCTCTCTTTCATGCTAAGTTGTTGGATGCCGAGCCTGTGCTTGGATTACTCTGTTACACATGGCTCCTCTGAACTCCTCCTCCGGCCTGCGAGGAGTTTTGATGTGCGACACAGCGCATTTCCGCTCCCACCCACTCCTCCACACCGGCACACCAGTGCAACAAGCTCCAACCCTCCCTCCGCCACTCTCTCTCGCTTTCCCAACACTCTCCATCCCTGCGCTCTCTGTCTCTAGGAAGACAGTAGGATGTACAGTTGCATTGCTCAACACACACTGCCAGGTGTTGTGTAGTATCTCTGAACCCGTTTTTGACTCGGAGCCCAGTTTCCATGCTGAGCTCCAACCAGCTTTTCTTTTGATACAATCCCTTTACTGGATGCAAAGACATGAATGCAAGAACCGTGACACACACACATTTCTGTACTGAACAATCTGTTCATGTACACACAGTAGCTGCTTTTATATTTCTATATATATATAGTAGATGAAATGAGAGCACTAAAAGAATAGAAAGGGAAGTCAAGGTCAGCCAAATCTATTTGCATTTGTTTGACTTGTATTTTCTCTGTCTGACTAAATGTTAATTTCCAAACAGTCTCATAATACCTTATTATAGCAGCATTGAGAAGTACATTCAAAATGAAAAATCTGCATCTACTGTTTTAAAAGCGACTACCTCCTTTACATAAGTATTTCCATTTTGCCATAAATTCCCCCTGAGGAAGGAAATTTTATTACTTGGTTCAAATAATTTCAATAATCCCCTTGTAAACTTTTATGTGTCACATAAAGCAGAGTAAAACACTGCTGCAGTTAATTTCACCGCTCACAAGCACCTTTTGTAAAATTGGTTGAAGGATTTTGTCTCCCGATGGAGAGATGCATTTTTTTCAGTTGTATATATATGAACTCTTTAAAGGTGCCATGTGTTTGCTATTACGACAATGTTAGCATCAGCAGCTGTTTACTTTGATCCTAGTGGCGTTTACCAGACAAGAGATTGAAGTAGGCCAGTATCTTCTCATGGTAGATTTTGGGCGGTATTACAAGAGGGGATGGGCCGGGGTTAGCAGGTTTGCATACTAACTTCACCAGAAGAAATTATGCCGATTTCAATTCATAGACTGTATTATAAAGAGGGACGACGCGTCTCCACAATCCCAAAATTATACCAAATCATTCCAGATGTAAACGCTGCCATCTATAGCCAGAAACTGTGCAGTAGCATTCAGGGGATGGAGTCAAAAAAATCAAGGTCCCACCAAAACACGCATTTGACCAATAGCGACTCAGGATCAGCTGTCAATCACGACGTTTCAGTTTTTATAGCAGAAACCAAGCTTATCGGAAAAATAACAATTGAACTATACTTATAGGACCAAGTTGCATCTATGGGACATTGGAGAGGTGGGTTTATGACGTACACTGCTGGAGACAGCTTCGGTGAGTGATCAAATGAAGTTTGATTGAACTTGCAATGTTTTTTGCCAGATTAGTTGGTCAGCTGTTGCTGCTGTTAACATGCAGTTATAGAAAAAACTTCATGTAATTTTCATGTAATTTAAACTTAATTTTGAGTCCAACTGTGAGATATGTAAAGATCTGCTTTGCACGCTGTGTTCTATCCTTCCACATTTCAGAGGAAAATTGGGTCTGTTGTTATCTTTCTATAAGTTACTGCTATAGGCAAAACAATTTCATATAGGGCATTAAGTTACAAGTAAAATACATGTGCTTGAATGGAAAAGCATATGGAAACACCTTCCTAACCCACATCCACCCCACAGAAATACACCACAACCACACCGTCCCTGATCTTAACTTGGTGAAAACAGAACGTTTACAGTGTGATTTTGAATGCGAACACAGTTGAGACGGAGCTCAGGTTATCAGCCACTTGGTTCCAGGACCAAAAGGATGAAAACCATCCTCAGGAGATTTGGATGATGTTAGCTAGAAAACCACCACCTGAAGTAACACAAGAGCTCTGACAGGACTGTAATCAGTGACCAGGTATTTTTAAAGCAGCTGTGACCGCAGGGCTGGTGTTGTTTTCACCTCGTGAGTCTGTGCGTGTGTTGTCATGACAAAATGAGGTCTTGGAGACACTGGAACTTCCATTGAGGTGGTTTTAACTACTCTGACAGGTGTTTATATGTCTGTCTGCCACCACAATAGTATTACATCCATATGAGATGCAGTCACGAAAACTTTACCGATGTGTACTTGAGGTCAAAATGAAGGCTAAACTCAAATTCGGGTGTGGACACCATAACTAGGGGGTTTAGAGATACAGGACGAGGGCTCGAGTCATTGACTGTATCCCAGTTGTTGGATTGTGTCTTGCTGGTTTTGGCACATTGTGAGGTTTACTGCCACATAACTGCCACAAACGGTTGATCAGTGAAACGACGGGGAAGTGATGACAGCATGTGAATGGCACGGACCTTGCTCCATAGTGCTACAACTGGTTGGAACCTCACAGGGAACTTTCAAGAGTTACTCCAGAGATTAAGCATTGCACAGGTCAGAGACTAAATCAAGAAAATCCTGACTCCAGTCAGAAACATTTTTTGAACCTCCATAAACGCCCACGTGAACTACTTGAATGTGTGGGACATAGACTTTCAGTCTCTAACTGTGATGACATCATCAAAACTTAATAAAGCTCCCTCCACCACCAAAACATAAAACATTTATAAAAATAGCTGCATGCGCAAATGGATCTACTTTGGATTTTACAGTCAACATTTAAGTTCATATCTTAAAATATAATATGACGTGCCGACCCAACATTATATAAAGTAATTAAAAAAAAGAATTAAATAATATAATGATATAAGACCGTAAAAGAGGTTTTCCACTTGATGACTAATAATAGTGTACTTCATT